AGCCATTATTAGTCTCAAAGTGGGTTCCTCGTCATCGAAAATGTAATATTTATCCAACTATATTGATCAATTAGGATTTTATTATGTGTAGGTGAAGACAATAAATATGCATATAAAAATTATCCAACAACATATAATTGTATTGTGAATTAACTTTTTTGAGTTTTTTTAACTAGCTAGGTTCTTATAATTTTGTCAGTGATTATACTTTCTTAAAGATACTTATGAATGCTTTTATTGTTTAAGGCATACGAAGAATGGAGTCGTTTTCATGAGATGGAACTACCATTGCCCGGTGTCAATCTTACACACAGACAGTTGTTTTTCTTAGGATTTTCTCAAGTTTGGTGCTCAGCGAGTACTCCCGAAGCACTTCATCTTCAAATATTGGATGACAGTCATAGTCCAGCTCAATATAGGTCAGTATCTAGTTTAAACTTTAGTTGTGGAAGTTTTAACCATATATTACAAAACTATTTAATTGGATGTTATACTTAATAATGGTTTTTGTCATACTTAAATGGTCAACTTTCAACAACCCATTTATAAAATGCTTGTTTGTTTGTTTTGAATTTTGCGCAAAGCTACACAAGGGCTATCTGCGCTAGCCGTCCCTAATTTAGCAGTGAACGACTAGAGGGAAGGCAGCTAGTCATCACCACCCACCGCCAATTCTTGAGCTATTCTTTTACCAACGTATAGTGGGATTGACCCTAACATTATTACGGTGAGCATGTTTGGTGGGACGGGAATTCGAGCCCGCGACCCTCAGATTGCGAGTCAAGCGGCCTAACCAGCTGGCTATACCGAGTCACATTATAAAATACACACGCATATATATAAATAATCATTATGTAAAATAAAGTGAATCTTATTATATGTAAATAAGTTTTAGCTTAAGAAACTGTTATAGAAATGCTATGAAAAGAGCAAAGTTACTTAAAACTTGTTGATATCTAAACGCACTTAGCTTTCTCAATAAATAGTGTAGGCAGTTGATTAACATAAACAGACGCAACTTATACGCTGTAACAGTCAATCACACAAGTCCTCAGACCGTAAACACATTCGTTTAATAACGTTGATTCAAGAATTTGATTAGTACGTTTAAAAATAACATTTATTTTTCTCGCCCATGCAATTAAGAGAAAGCTATATTCCTGTTTTTAAAAAAAATAAACCTTGTTTTTGTGAATGAAAAAGCGCTATGCAATTATGCACATGGTAAATATTTATTTTATTCATTGGGCTTATAATATGACAGAAACCCGAAGTCGAACAAGGTGGAAGCGTTGTAATATAGCAGTCAATCTCACTCTTTGGTAGAGTGTAGCCCAAGAGTTGGCGGTAGTTTTTGGTGGCCGATTGCCTTTTCTGTGGTTGCTATTTCAAAATAATGAAAAACGGCAAAAAAAAACTTTAGTAGTCACAAATAATGTGACAGAAAACTAGCAGTAAATATCATTATTCTGTATATGATGTGTAATTTACTTAATTGTTTAAAAAAGCCACAGAGCTCTCAAAAATATAAAACTGAATGTAGAATCAAAACCCAGTAGGCAATATATTGTACCTTCTTATGTACAATATAAATAGTAAATAAATGTTTCAAGATGGTTTTAGAACGCAATCTGCGGGTTTCGGGTTCGAATCTCCGTCATCGAATATGCTCGCCCTTTCACCCGTGCGGAGATTATAATGTAACGGTCAATCCCACTACTCGTTGATAAAAGAGTAGCTCAAGAGTTGGCGGTGAGTGGTGTTGACTAGCTGCCTTCCCTCTTGTCTATCACTTCAAAATTAAGGATAGCTAGTGCAGATATCCCTCAAGTAGCTTTGCACGAAATTCACAACAAATCAAACAAAACAACTTAAAAATAGAAAGAAAATATGTTTCCTGAAATATTCGAGAAATTCTGTCTTTATTAAAGTTGCTTCCATATGATTTTTATATGTATAAATCATTTTTGCTTTCAGCAACATTTTATTTTATTTCATTGTTCTAGAGTTATTGGAACCTTGTCAAACTCCTACGAGTTTGCTCGGGAATATCAGTGCCCTATAGGTAGTTCCATGAACCCGAAGAAGAAATGCGAAGTTTGGTGATATTACTAATAGAGGTAACTGTTAACTTGAAAACTTATTCTATAATTTTAGTAATCGACTGTATATTCGTTTGAATTATAAAACTTAAATTAATGTTAGTGATTCCCTTAAAACAAAAATTGGAGATAATTTTATCAAATGTACCTAAATTGTAAAACGATTTCCACAGGTTCCTAGCAGTTTTCAAAAGCAGCATTAACTTGTGATTCGCTAAACTAATACTCCTGCTTTTATCCCTTTTCTTCAAAAAACAAATAAAAATAAGTGTTTTATTTGTAAAAATAAAAAAAACGAAAGGAACAGCAATTCAACTGTGTGGGTGACATAACGGTGAGTTTACTTGTTGAAATATAAAGGAATTTCAAGTGTATAACTCGAATACATTTTACTGATATTAAATTGACAAAATATTTTGTTTTCATATTTTAATTCAGAATTGTATCGCTATTCTCCTGCATGTTGTATCCAAAAAAGAAAAGGGAAGGCTTAAAAGGAATCCAGAATGATGTAATTTCCTCCTACATCTGTGTTTCTTTAAATTTGTAAAATTCTTAAAAATTAAAAATTGCACATTATTTATGTTGTGAATAAAAAGTTTATTTTCTTTTACTCGTTTAACTACTGTGCAAATGTAATCCTAAGGCAATATTTTTGTGTTACTATTTTTTGTCTAAAACCAAATTATTAAGTTAAAATTAATGTCTTATTGTTTCCTATTTTTTGTTATAATTCCTTTTTAATCAGCATTTCGTTGATTGAAATATCATACTTTATGTATGTTAATTTAATTAATAAAATTATATGTACGTAACTTTAATTTAAATCATTTATGAGATGTGTATTCAGGCAGGCAAACTAGATGCTACTTTTTCCTTTGTGTTATTATATCATTAATAGACTAAAGTGCAAGTAATATTTGACCGAAAATGATGCTCTGATGGAAATATATATAACAACTAATGCTTCAGTTTGTATAATTAAATAAAATAAGCTTAATATATTCTATGGAAAATACATTACAGTGTAAAACGTATAACTTGTAAAATGTTTAGGGATTCATGTATGTTTGAAGATTTAAATCAATAACGTCGTGCTTGTGAATTTGAGTCAAACTGTGAGTTCAAAATGGTAGGTAGTCTGTACTGGTCATTTGATTTTATATCAATTATTTATATTCATATAAGAACGCCAAAAGTAACAATTCCTCATTATTTTAACTTACCTCCTAAAATACATTAGAAAGAGGTTGGGATACCACGAAAACAATAACTAACTAACAATACTAAAAGTAACAAAGGTTTTCACCATTCATTAATGTACTTAATGGGAATAAAACCAGATAAATCATGAAAATAACAAGACATTTTGTCACACTCAAATGAATTGATTGTAAATATACTTGTTATTTCTTTCTCTAATTTATATGTAGTTTCATCGTTTAATGTACAGTTTATAAAATAAAGGACACGGATACATAAATGACTTGTTAAAATAAATTCTAGTTTTTCAAAATAATTCATGATAGTAAAGACTACATATCATGGACATATATTAAGGAAGAGTGTATTCCACTTAATCGAAAGTTAAATCCTTGTCATATTTTCTTCTAACATATCTTAATTTAACATAGAGACGCCATTTTCCTTTTAAAGTTTGCTAGTATCATAAACACTCTATCTTAACGGGATAATTTTCAGTTACGTATTCACAGTATTGTAAGTTATAAGTGTCCCTTTTTACACTGTTTTTTATTTAACAATTCAATTAAATCGGTAATGAGCGTTCTTTCTCGAGACGTGTTTTGTTAGATTTTAACTTTCGTACTCTGTTGGATTAAATTTATGTCAGTGAATGCCATTGCAAAGACGAGGTAATGTTTTGGAATACTGATTCAGACAATTCTGTGTAAAGGTCATTCAAATTTATTATACTGTGTCAGTAGTTGGACTAGTGATGCATCATAATAGTATGATATTTTTCAGTAAGGTGTAGAGATTGAAAAATAGTTATGATGTAGAAACTGAAATATTTAGTTACCAACGTATTCTACAACTGCTGTGTAAAAATCAATATTGAATACTTAATTGGTAAACTTAGCTTTCTTTCTTTCAGCAAATCTAAGTGTAACTGTATTCTGACGAAAAAGGAAACAAATTTCCTTCACAATAACGGCAGTAAATGTAACGATTGTAGCTTATGAAAACATAATATATGTATGTGCATATATGTAGCAAATGTTCATTTGTGCTTGTTTTTTATTGTTGTATCAACATTCGAAAATTGCTTTTTAAATGGTATTCACATTATATTTAAACTAAACGTCAAATGCATATAATCCTTTCTACAGGGTGTTCCTAAAGTCTGGACACATAGGTAAAATGCAGATTTTCAAGAAATGAAATTTTCAACAACATTTTATTCAATTGGAATATTAACAAATAACATCTTCAATATGATTTCCATCATTTGTGATGCAAAAGTTGATGCGCTTTGCAAGATTCACGTGAACTCGATGCAATAACTCCACATTGCCGTCGATTTTAGCACATTCACTCTTTATGCGTCCAATCAAATGTGTTGCATCTGTGATTTTCATTGAGTACACCTTCTCCTTTAGCATACCCCAGAAAAAGAAGTCAAGGGGGCTAAGGTCTTTTGCTCTTTTAAGATACGACTGAGGGTTGTTTTGGGAACACCCAGCTCCATGGATGTCCTGCGAAATTATTTTTTGGGGCTAGCATAAATTTTAGCCATGAAAATTTCTTTCGTTTCGTCTGATAATTTTGGGCGTCCAGAATGGGGTTTGTCCATGACACTGCCCGTTTCTTTAAACTTTTTAACCACCTTCGCCACCGTGGAAAAGCCAAGTGGAAACCTCTTGGGATGACGTGCATTAAATTCATCTGCTTTCTTTCGATATGACCATCCTTCACATCCACTGAGAAGTACCAGTTCAATTCTCTCTTCTTTCGACAAAGCCATATTTAATCTGTGGAGGTAAAAAAATATATAGTTAATGAGATTTCCTATGTGTCCTAACTTTAGGGACACCCTGTACAATAAAACATCGTAACTGTCGAGGAGTTCAAAATATTAAAATAGCCGCTTTGTGGTTGAGGTCAGAAGGTTTGAATATCTATTTCCTGAGACATTTCGTGCTGAATACGAAAATGATTTCTTCATTGCGACAGTCTTTACAAAAGTTTTTAAAATATGCACGAATATATGAGGGTGAAGTTAAAAGTAGAAAATCTGGAAAGTAGGGTAAGACTATAAATACTACTGCTTTTGCTCAAATGCATGCAATATAATGCCTATTATGGCATTCTATATTTCAAAACAAACTAAACTTCTAAAGCAGTAAACATTTGAGATTCAAAGCTAAGATCTTTTGGTGCTATAAGGTCAAAAACTTTAAAAACAAATTTTCAGAAAATTCCGAGGGGTCCCAAAATGTAAATATTGTATTAATACGTTTGTCTCAAGTATTTAGATGAGGATCACTAGCCTTTTAATTCATGAAGTCAAATCTAATATTATGTTGACAGTTCTTGATATGCAACCTTTAGGAACCTTTACTTCTAGTTATTATTTCCAAAGTCCGAATCATTAAAGGATGCTTCAATTTCACACTCACAATCCTAGGAATGTTCTCTTCGGGAGAGAAGTTGAATCGCCAGTTTTTAAAAAAATATCCTGATGAATCTTGGAACTAGAAAATCATTTGATTGTGAAGCGACCATCTCTCTGTTCCTGGTCGATCTCCATTGAGTCCAATTCTAGAGGGAATGCTGTTTCTGCACTTTTTATTGAAAAAAGTAGAGCATTAGATTCGTTCTCATCACCTTCCTATGGAGAACAGGCTGGAAAAGAGGCAAAAGACTTGGATCCGCACCTTTTAGCTTCGCCATATGATGATTTTAGCCTTTAGATGCTTATTTCATCCTAAAGATTGCTTAGTATACATCGTCTACTTTATTTAGGGTTAGCTTCATAAATAATGAACGTGCAAGTTATTCAAAATCAGCAAGTCAGCTTCAACACTACCTAACACTTCATCAGAAGCACCAAAACTGGCAAAGGTTTGACGATAACAAAGGGACTTTCGAGTTTTGCCTTTACGTACGAATGCTGCAGTGTATTGTTTGTTTGCTTGTAGTTAAGCACAAAGCTACACAATGGGCTATCTGTGCTCTGCCCACCACGGGTATCGAAACCCGGTTTCTAGCGTTGTAAGTCCGCAGACATACCGCTGTGCCACGGGGGACTGCTGCAGTGTAATTACAGCCCATAAACACATGAACTGCAAGTAATTCAGCCACAATAATTCATCTAGCTTACCACACAGCTCGGTCATATGAATTCAGACAAACATATTAGTACAATGTTTACATTTTGGGCCCTGTCCTAATTTTCTGGAACTTATTTCTCAAGCTTCTCAACTTGCCTGCCTTTTCACTTTTCAATATCCTGTTACACATTGCCTAAAATATCGTGTATGTGAATATTAGACAATTTTACAAGGTTCGTAGTATAATCATACAATATGACAGTGCTAACTTATCCAGAATACCTTCTTCAATTTTCTCTTAGATGCGTTTATACGCCTACTCTTGGAAAAGGTTTTAATGGTAGCATAGACTTTAGTTATTTGTTACATACTGTATTTGGCTGATCTTTGTCCTGTTTACACACATGGAAAGTGAAATGACGCGTGATTTAAAATGTCATTAAAACACGGCGCCAAATTCGTCATTAACATTTCAACAGTTCCGTTTCGAATAAGTACGGTGAGCTTTAAATTGTTTTTATCTTTGATAAAATTTACTCACTACATATAGACTGTGTTAGACTCAAACAAATAAAAAATAAATCTTGTGCACACAATTAATTTATTAACCGACAAAAACAAATTTAGAGTACTGCTTTTAATATTGAAAATGTCATTATATTTTCCGCACTTAGATGACCTTTTGACCTTATACCACCAAATGACTTCAGATGTCAAATGTTTATTAAATGACTTCAGATGTCAAATGTTTATTGTTTTAATATTATAGTTGTTGTAAACGGCTAAATGTCATAATTGGTCATATATTTTATGCATTTAAAGAAAATTTGCACTGTTTTTGTAGCATATCCTACCTTCCAGATTTTGCACTTCGAGCATACTTATCGGACTAGTGCACGGCTGTCGCTAATACTTTCATTTACAGATCTTGCATAAAGTTTCCTACTAGAACCCATCTTTAAACCGTTTAGCCTGAACCACAACAATAGATCTCCCACCATCTCTCAGACTGAAAGGAGGCCTCGCAGCAGACTCGACATTTTTATGTGAACTTTTAGTTAATACCAAAATCGCATCTTTGGACTGTGAACTATGTATGTCCTTAAATACAGATTTCTGTTGGAAAATAATTACAAACTACAGTTTAACAGATTTTGTATTTTAGGATTATTTTTTTTTTTTTTACATAATTCTGGCAACTTGATTTATTGGGTCTTTCAAAGTCCGCCTATATATTTGCTTAGAAATGTTATTAATTGATGTGATCAGTATGATAATGAAAATATTTTTTTGATTTATTGATAGTATGTGAATGTAAACTGTTACAAAATTTAAGGTATCCTCAGAAGTTACAATATGCTTTCTAATCGTACGCTTTGTGTCAAATCTGACATACAGTCAGATCACTAGCCTTACCTCGGATTTTAAGATCTTATAGTTACTTTTTATTATAACTATACTTTTTCTGTGGTCATTAAATACAGATGAATAAAATATGTAAATTTTTTGTAAAATGTATTTGCATTATTTTACGGAACTTAGTTGTTCTTTTAATACTTTTATTTTGTATATTAAATTATAAGAAACATTATTACGTTCTCTTTGTAGAGAGAAAAGGTACACATTATTGAAACATGTCAGGTGGTCTCTAAATTGTCTGTTATAGAATTTGGAAAATATGTAGTTTGAAGCCAACTTTCTACAATGTTTTAATGTAGCAAAAAAGTGATAGAAATATATGTTTATACTTGCAATATATTGTTAACTATAGTATAAGTATTATTTCATTAATCATTTTAAATACTTCCAGATGTGACGTGATATATTATTATTATACTAAAGTCGCAGAAACGTACAAAAAAAACAAAGTGTTGTTCTGTTGCTAGGAGACAAAATTAACTAAATTCCATAAACACACAACATATCTCAATGTGACTTCAATGTAATTGCAATCTTTGATAAAAACAGATTATTGCTCTCTTATTATTTATATGTTATCTCGTGTACCAATAACTAAATATGTAGTATTTTTCAATGGTAGCAGTAAAAAAGTTATCTGCAGTTATGTGTAATTATATGAATAAGAGTTTTGGTTTTGTATGTAGGCTTCATTTTATTACATTACTAATAGTCAAGTAGCGTCATATTAGCTCAAATGAATGTTCATAAACTTAGTACTTTCCCTAAACCTAAACCTAATAAAACCTAAGTTTCATAAGTTATCTTGAATACCTTTTAAGTGCTTTCACTGGAATTTATTATTTCCGCAAATAGATACTGAAAAAAATGAAACCAGTTTAGCAAAAATGCTGTTAATTGACTTGATAATATCGCTATAAAAATGTTAGCATCAATACACATTAATAAAATTATTAAACATAACATAGTTTGCATAAAATATGTATTCAATGCGTTTCGAAATATGATATCTGAATTTGTGGAAACAGTACGTTGCACATCTGCAAAAAATATTTGTGGTTTTATAACATCAATTTATAAATTTCTACACGATGTTTTCTATACTAGTCATTTTGAGCGAATCAGTAATCTAAAATATAGGTACTCACTCCTACCTATTTAAAGTCGAGTGGAAACCATTAGTTTGTAATCAGTTTTCTCCAGCTCAGTAAAGAAGAAAAGTACACGTGCTGAAATGTTTGAAATAAAGGCTTTATTGACATTACAAATATCTTTAAAACTTCCAAACAAAAAAAAAGACATTTTTTTATATAATTTATAAACTATAAGATTGAAAGAGGTAAAGGAAACCCAGAACTTATTTCAAGATAGTCTATTATGTGGAACTACAAATCAATCATTGTTACTGAGCGTATAATGTTTAAAACAGCCGTTGACGCTATAAAATTTAGGAGTCGAGACCATTGTCTCAAAGAAAATATTCAAACGTTTTACTGTCATATACACAAGCGCAATTACAGCGTTGTGCTGATATGCAGAGCATATAAATGTCAAACGCACAGTTCTATTTTAAGAAACACAAGATCCCAGCTGTAGTGCCTGAAGAAGGTATTTGACTGGATCTTTGGTAGAACTGTGCCACATATTGGAGAATTCGTGTTTCCACATAATGTAATTTTTGGTGTTTTAATGTTGTTTCTATCATCCCCCAGCTCATTTAATTCTCAAGTCAAGAAACACACTCGCATTGTTTCCTTTTCCTACAAAAGAAATCAGAAACACACTTCTTTGTAGCTTAAAACAGTGTATACATATCTGTAGTGTTATTGTTATTTTATGCCATGCACGCCTGTGTGCAAATTGTTTGTAAACATAGCAAAATCGTATATATATATATATATAT